TGGCCCTGGCCCAAAGCTGGCGGGGCCTGTTTTGTTTCCTTAATGAAACCCAGAGATATGAGGGGCCCAATTGTTTTTAGTATAAAGACAAATAAAACATGAAACTAAGTTCTTTTTTATGACTGACCTTCAGAAAAGAAATATTGTCCAAGCAAGGCTCAGTGTAAAACCATGGACTCCTTTTGTCCTGAAACATTAAAACACAAGAACAAAAGCAAATTAGAAGTAAGTTACCCAAATTTCAATCTTAAATCCAGTCGTGCTAGCTTTTTCTGCAATAATGTCCTAGTTTGGAGCAGTTTCTGTGCCAGGCTATTTAGGGAATCAGCATCTGCTGCTTGATAAATAGCCTGGCTTTGTGTTTTAGGCCAGGTTGGATTTTTTTTGGGACCCAGCTCATTAGCCTGGAAGACTCGGACCGTCATTGTTTTGTTTGGATGGTATCATATACACCTCAAAAATTGGTATTTCCGGGCGCCAAAAGAAGGAAAATTATACCTGCGTCAGTTCCAAGGCATAAACTCAGCAAATAAGCAAAATAGTCATTAATTCTTCTTGTTTTTAAACAAACTGTATGCTATTTGTGCAAATACAAAGACCAGCACTGCCATAAGGAAAGGAGACAGAAATAATATTTCTGAGAGCCCTTCCTGTTGCTCGGAGGTTCCTCAGTTCAAAGCGTTTCAGTTGCCGTATTGCTTTCATGGCTGGCTAGTAGTATTTGTTTGGAGAGAGCAGCTGAAATGCTATCCCTTTAAACACACAGACGTATTCTTCCTGCAGCCTATCTAAACATTACTAGTACCTAACTGGGCTTTTGTGTTGGGGTTCACATTCTTTGACATGATCTAAGGTTGATGTGACATTTCTTTGTCCGTTTGAGAACAGGTTTTTTTTTTTTGCTTTTAGTATTGTAAGTAAAAAAGGCTTTTACCCATCACATATCCTCTATTGAGGTCTTTCATAAATAATTCAGCCAGAGTACAAGTGAAAGTGATGACAGCAAAACTGTCTGCGATCTCGCCCTCTCATAAGATCAAAGAGGTGCTTCTATAGGAATCGGAATAATGTTTCCAGACTTTCCGAGGTTGAATGGGCATTCATTTCTCTTTCTCTCCTCCTTCTCTTTCTCTCTGCTTTTATTATTGCCCCCCTTAGTTTCTGTCATTTACTCTCCCTCCTGATAGGTCTTTCAGTCTCTTGTGTTTCCCCTCCAAAGGGACATAGTTAGGTGAGAGTCTGCTTTTAGTCCTAAAACCTCCAGAGCCGGTATATGAGCGAGTCAGCACATTCAGACAGACAGAGTGAGTGCACTCTATTAGCAGTAGTGAGGTAAATAAACCTCACAAGACATGGCTGAATAAATTCAACTACTAAGGCAGCTGCTAAGGCCACAGCAGCTCTCTTTAGATACTGCCTTTGGGAAATGTAGTGAAATGTACTGTAACACAAACAGCCTCATGCTGTACTGGCTGTTAAAGTCCTGAATAAAACTGTTTAAATAGCTCATCTACTTTGGATTCCATTTATAAGAGACACTTAAGAGTAATTTGGAAAATAGTAAGTGAACTCACATTTGTAAAATAATCCCTACCCTTAAATTTCAACTGTCTCTTTGACTTGCATATCAAAGATACAAAAAGTTATGGTACACATTTTCCCTTACAAAATGAAAAACCCCAGCTGTCACAGATTCATTCAATGTAAACAGACGCAACATGTTTTTTTAACCACATTTATATGTGTTGTAACTTTAGAGAACCACACACCCCTGAGATGGGGTAGTCCAAGTTCAAGTAAACTTTATTGTCATAGAACAAAATTATATACACTAATAGTAGTATTAAGAAGTAGTTTATGTTAGTATTTATATACAGTATATAGGGAGTGGTGGCGCGGAAGTTAGAGAAGGTGGGCCTGTGATCGGAAGGTCGCTGGTTCAACTCCCGGTACCGACAACATCAAAATGTGGGTGGGATTGATGAAGCACCCGCACCTGCCTCCACCCTCATTTGCCCCACTCTGGGCCCTTGAGCAAGGCCCTTAACCCCACTATCTGCTCCTCTTGGCGCCCTAGATAGCAGCTCTCTGCTCCACACAGAGGGCTGTGGTAGCTCAGTGGTTACGTCAGGAAGGGCAACCGGTGTAAATATAATTGCCAAGTCTTTATGCGACTTAGTTTGCTGTGGTGACCCCTGAAGAGGGGAGCAGCCAAAAGAAGAAAAAAAAGTGTAGCTTTATCTAACTTGATATAGACATATTTAGAAAACTTGAATTTGCTTTTAAAAAGAAGATCAATGTGGAGATCGAATGTAATATTTTGAAATACCATTAAACTAGCTACTGCTCAAACTATCTGCTGTTTGTGATTTTTGTTAATGTATCACTCAGATCAAAGTGTGTCCTAAATTCCTTCTTTTATATACCAGTAACCAACTAGCCCTGCCAGCCATCTGGCCACATTACAAACTAATTTAAACCATTGATGTTGACAACAAACCAAAACACAAAAGAACAGTCTAAGCATGGCTATTGCTGTGTTGCATTTACTTTTGAATTCAGAGCTCAGATCTGGGACAGACATCAACAGTGTTCATGTTGCAAGTTAGGCAAACAGTAGGATTTGCTAATTGCTGTGTTCAGTGACCAGGACAACTACCATTAGCAGTAAAAGTTAATAGATTTCTCTGCATTGTTGCATTCAAACACCGTAGCAACTTGTTCACTGATAGTGAGAGGACAGTACTGTGTGTGATCAATTTACTGTGATACAAACTGACCGATGAGACAAACTGAAGCTACTTGTCATGTGTAAGGCAGCCATATTGGATTTTGGGATTGGGGAAGAAGAAGAAAAATGATAGAAAGTGCTTTGTATTGCCATCACCTGTCTAGATGACATGATTTAACCCTTTTTTATGATATATCTACCTGGATGATTGATCCTACAAACCTTTCTCTGAACCATTTTGGCCTTGGTGTCCTTAGGCTGTTTCTGCGAGTAGCAAGTCGGCCATCTGGCCTAAAACATTTGATTGTTATGCATGATGATCGATTGTTTTGGACGGATGGTCCCCCCTTTTTGCACGTGTAAAGCTACCATAGTTTCTTTGGATTTCACAGAGGGCTGGCTTGAAACACATCAAGGAGGTGCTATTTATAAGACAGATCTGGGTTGGCAGGCCTCAGACTGATGAAGTCTTTCGGATGAGAGACAAAACGTTTCTCCCTTAAAGAAACTGGTCCAGATGACATGATTTAACCTTCTTTTATGATCATCATCATTGTATTTCTCTATACAATGATAAAAAAAAGTTCTCTGCATTTAACTCATCTTACGTGAGATACACGGTGGAGCAGCAGGCAGGTATGTAAGCATCTGGGGAGCAGTTAGGAATTGGGTGTCATGCTAAAGGACGCCACAGCATGTGGGCATGGTGGGGAGTTGAACCTGTGACTTTCTGGTCCCAAGTTGGCTGCCGTACCACTGCACCACAGGCCCCCTAAATGGTCATTTATGACCCCTACATGGTCATAAATCTTCAATTTTCTGAGTCAAAATTCCAACTTCGAGGGCAGACATTAGTTGATTTTACCAACATGAAACTGACAGAGTCAAGATGTAGATACAATTTAATCCCCTTACCAGCAGGCCATATAAAGTATTGAAACTTTTTTTATCTTAAGCACTCCTAAGACAATATATTTACACAGAGTTATAAATACTAATGCGGTTTTGTAACTACATAATTCCACATAAAATGAATTAGAATAAAATATATTTGAACCCTGCATGTAGAAGCTGAAGCCTTCTCAACGAGAGGAAACAGGTTGGCTCTAACCTCAGCCCTTTGTGCCATGCTCCCTTGCTCCAGTGCATCTATCAAAAGATGACACATAAATTCAAAAACTTCTCTTATTTGTTCATTTTTGATGTTTACTGCAAGCCGTAGCTATTATGTTGCATTTTAAAGATACGTTTAAAAAGGAACTATGTATCCTGGCATAGCTTGAAACGGACTACAGTGTGAAATAATTTATGAAGCCAATATGTCACCTGTGTCAAGTCCCCATAATTCATCTTCAGCTGAGACAAGCAGCTCCTGCTTCATGAAGAATATGCCTCTACAGAATCTTGGCCCATTACACGCTCATTGTGTTTTTCTTTTTCAGCCTATAGGCTTTTCTTTGTAACTATAAGCCAGCAAAGTAGGTATTGATTGAAACTCGAAGCTGTATTAATAAGCGAATGAGTAAGATGTGTAGAGAGTCAAGGGTGTATCTGCTTTGAAGGCCTTTTCTCCTACACAGTAAGGTGGCACAGTCATTTATCACAGCTGGATCTGTGCCCCTCGTTTGGTGTAATAAAACTCCCCCATCAGAACCGTCCAACAGGTCTGAATCACTCTGTCACACCACCTTCCAGCTAAGGCACGCATTAAATCAAGCAAGCAGAACATTTCCTAAGGCAGCCATTGCCTTTTAATTTCCTGAAGAACCTTAAAATATCATTCATTACCAGAACTACACATATTTGGTTTTTAAAAGTCTCATAAATCAATAGTGGTCTGACTGCAATAATTATAACAAGTTAACATGTAATTTCCAGGCCGAGGGCCGAGCGCTGGATTTTAGCATATGCAAACGAGGCAATTCAAATAGTGTGGGGATATTAATACGGAGGAACAGGTAACGAGGTGCAGGTTATGAATTATGCATCAAAAAGTGGTTGATCTTCAATAAAGGAAATGAATTCACCATGTAATCTAATTAGTTATGGAAGTCCATTATGTTGAGCTACAGAAAGCAACTGTCCTTGAAAAGAAATTTATTTACAGTACATGTTAGCTCTTTGGAATGGAATTGCATTCTGGAGAGCTCCAAATGTTAACACTTCCCCCGCTGCCACCTCTGCACACACACAGCCATCAATCCCCCCCCCCCTCCCTATGCCAGCCGCCTCCTCGTCTCTCAACCTGTTCTTCTTTCTCCTGTTGCAGCTCCAGACCCGGACGACCTCCAAAAAGAACCCAGAGTGTGACATCACCAGAGAACCCCCACATTATGCCCCACTCCGTCCCTGGACTCATGTCTCCGGGCATGATTCCTCCCACAGGTACGATTTAGTCTGTATTGTGTTGCAGCTGCTAAAACTCTTAATTTACTTTGTCTTGTTCCTTTTTCTTTTCATGCCTCTCTTACACACACACACACACACACACACACACACACACACACACACACACA